ACCACCGCCACCACCCACCGACTCACTGCCGCCCTCCATTTTCACGCATATTTAAAATTTTTTTTTATTAAATAAAAAAAAAACGGAATCGAATTATTTTCAAGATTTAAAAAATTATTATTATTATTATTATTATTATTATTATCATCGTACTCGTCGTTTCCTTTTAGTTTTATAGACTAGACTAGACTTACTAAGACCAGACGACAAAAAAAAAAAAAAAAACAATTTGTATAATTTTTGTATTTGCACCTGATTACAAAAAAAAAATTGTGTCGCGATGACTGTTAGAATTCAATATGGCCGACAAAAGTCACAAAAAAAAAATAATAATAATAATAATATTAGAAAAAAGAAAAGAAAAGATTAGAAAGTTGAGATGCTGAAATCTTTTGACGATCATTCATGTGTAACTGAAAGATGCGACGACTTGGCGCCAAACAACAACAACAACAACAACAAGAAACAGCCAACAAACGATTTCGTCTGAAAATTTATTTTATACATCTCCCACAAAAAATTTTCCTTCTGCTTAAAATTTAACACAAAATTTTTTTTTTATTTTCCACCTACGCACATTCGTTTCTTTGTTAGTGCCACGTTCATTTACCATCGAATTAACGGTACTCGACAATAATGTTTAACAGTTTTTCTTTTACCGGTTTGTAAAATAAGCAGACGATAATTATTAAAATAACAATTTAACGGTTATTATTATTATTATTATTAATATTAATCGATCGAATTTTTCGTCATCTACGTCATAGAAAAACCTTTTTTTTTTTTAAAAAAAATGTCATCGACCTTAAATTCAACGACAGGGAAAATTTTAAGTTTGAGGGGGAGAGGGAGGGGGGAAGTGGGAAGGGGAGGAGACGTCGAAAAGATTTCCAGCTGGAATGACAATTTGACGCGCGCCTAAAATTTCGTTCGAAAAAAAACGAAAATGTAGGACATTGAAAAAACAAAATTTATTTCCATAAGTGATGATTATTCATTTTGCGCGCCGTGGCGCCAGACGACCGGTTTTTGCCTTTATTTTCCTCTCCTCTGTAATAAATGCAAACTTTAACTTTTTTTTTTTTTTTTTCTACCCTTTCAATTTACCCTCGTTCCCACCCTCTCTCTTAAACATTTTATTTTACCCTTCTCCCCTTTCCCCCTAACCATTCTTGGATTTTTTCCACGATTATAATTTTTTGTTTGGAAAAAGTAAAAAAAAAAAAAAATGTGAAAGGTGTTAAAAGAAAAAAGGGTAGTGGGAGAAAGGACGGCAAGTGTCATTTGAATAAGTCAAGGTAACCTCCCCGAAAAATTTCTTTTTTTTTTTTTTAAGAAAAATTAACTTAACTCATCGTTACATTCGTCGTCGTGATTTTAAAATTTCGAAATAATAATAATAATAATAATAATAATAATAATAATAATAATAATAATAATAATAATAATAATAATAATTCTCGTCGTGATGATGCAATAAAAAGTTCATGAACTAAAAAAAAAAAAAAAAAAACAAATCATGGAAAATTGCGACAGGTGGAGCGAGTATTATATGCGTAGATTCTCATACAAACAACAAACACGCACAACAAACAAACAAACAAACGAACAAACAAGGACAGATGCATAAAAAAAATTCGATCGCGTAAAAATGTTTTTTTGTAAAAAAACGATTTCTTATGTTTAACCACGTGCCACGACGATCGAAAAGAAAAAAAAATTTCATTTAAAAAACAATTTTTTGTAATGAAATTTGCAATCGATACAAACAAACAAAGAAACAAACGGAACAACAAACGTTTGAAATTTTGTAAGTGAGAGAGAGAGAGAGAGAGAATACACATGGAAAATAATAATATTTAATGTTTACGTTTTTTTTAAAACAACACGTGGCATTTAAGTTTATTATTATTATTATTATTATTTTTTATGTTATTACACAAAGCAGGAGTGACAGACATACAAACACACACACACACATCTCTCTCTCTTAACTGTGAACTGTTTCCGGTTTTGATAAAAAAAAAGGAAATGTATTATATCATACGGAAAACAACAGTCGCGTGGCATTTGTAAACCGTTAACCGTAGATTATTATCGAATTTTAAACAAATTAATTTATCCGAACCGGTGCTAACTTGATCCCCCGCCGCCATTTTAAAATTATCTTTTTGCTACCGTTTCCGGTTTATACCATCCCTCCATCCCTCCCTATCTCCCCCCCCCTGATAAAAAACAAATCGATTTCCAAATGTTTTTTTTTTATTACCGCCACGTCAAAAAAAAAAAAATAGAAATGATGATGATGTGATTCGAATCGTCGTGTACGTAGACAATTCCCCCCCTCCCCATCCTCTCCTTCTTTCTCCTTTATCGAAAAGAATCTGAGAAAAGAATTTTTGTTGTTGTTGTTGTGATCGTGAAAACCGCAATGAAGAAAAAAAAAAAAAGATGAATTCGTGAGGAACCGCAACAAAAACCTCCCTAAAGGGATTTCAAACGCGTGGGAATAAAAACCGCCGAAGAAAAAAAGGACAAAAATTGCTGGAAGCAAATCGGAAGGTGGTTGGAAAAAAAAAAAAAAAAAAATTGTAAAATGAAGACAAGTCGAAGATGAAAATTTGGTATTTATACAACAATTAAAAAGAAAGAAAAAGGTTGGGTTAAATCCCTTAAGGCGAGGGGAGGGGGGAGGCGCAGGGGGTTTATTATCAAAGGTTTCGAATTGCATCATCAACATTTTGTTTTCTCCAGTTTCCAAAAAAAAAAAAAAATTTTTTAAACGGTACCTGAGTAACAAAAAAATTCCATTCCTTTTGTGTTATACGTTTCCGGTGAAGTCTTTTGTAATTTTTGAAGAAAAAACTGGAAAAGTTTTTCCATCGAATCATCATCGTTACAAATCCAGTTTTCCATTCCAGAACTTTCCATAATTTTTTTAATTTCTATAAAGAATTCGAATTATTAGAAAAAAGGATTAACGGGTGACAATAATAATAATAATATGTTAAACGTTGGAGCATGGAGGGAAGAGAGGGAGGGTGGTGGAGGGAATGGAGGACGAAAATGTGATGATGCTGGTTGGATGGAGAAAGGATAAAACAAACCATTTTGTAACTTTTTAAAAATATTTTTCTCCCCTTCCCCCTCAAATAAAAAAAAAAAAAAAAAACATTTGTTACTAATTTTTTTTTTTTTTTTCAAATCTACTCTTCCTATATATATATATATATATAATTGAGCATGTGTGCTATTTCCGGTTTGTGTGTTTTTTTGTATATACACTTGTCTCTCCTGCAAATAAAGCAGGTGAATGATTGAAATCATACGTTTTTTTTTTTTTTTGTCTGTTGCCACTTGAATATTTACCATTTTTCCGGTTTTAAATTTTTTACGTTTTTTTTTTTTTGATGACTTTTATAATTAGCCCGGTCGATGCTTCTTTTTTTTTTTAATAAGTAAGCAGACGATGACAAACTATCGTTTACCACCCGTTTAATTTAATTTATTTTGAATTTTTATTAACGTTTTTGAATCTTTTTTTTCCTTTTTCTTTTCTCATATAAGTTAAACAAAGGGTTTTTTTCATTTTCGCCATATTTTCAAATTTAAAAAAAATTATTACGAATGACACAAAATGTCGTCCGTTAGTGTACTTAACCCATGCAAAACGTTATTATAATCATTTAATTATTATTATTGTTATTATTAATTAGGAATAATAATGTATTTTATACTCACGTTTGTACGATGAATACTCTTTACTACGGTCCTGATTAATCCGATAATATGTAATGGAATTCGTTTAATATAAAGAAAAAGGAAAAAAAATTTTTACACTGTGACAACAATAATGGATTCACTTGTTACTTGTGCCCCGACATGTTCTAGAATCGTGTTCTAGAACATTTTTAAAATTTAAAAATTCAGACACAAAAATTCAGGTAAAAACAAAAACTTATCACTCATCATCAAGTATAATTACTAATTGAAACTTTTAAAAGATAATATAATAATAATATTTTTTATTTTATGCCTTTTAAAACAATTTTCTTTCACAATTAAACTAATCACTTTATTCTTATTACTTTTAAAAAATTGACGTGGCAGATGCGAATTCGTAATTTGCGTTCACGACAAATTCGGGTACGTTTTGGAATTGCGCGTCATCGCGCGTTTCATTATTATTATTATTATTATTTTTCTCATTCGAAACGTTATCGCGACGGTTTTATTTATTTATTTATTAAAAGTGTTTCAAATCAATCCCTTTCATTCCTCTTAATTTAATTCAAAACCGAAAAGGTTATTACATAGAGAAGAGGAAAAAAACCGTTAATAAGGACGAAATCGCACTACAAATAGAAATTTATTATTGATCACGTGATATAAAATGGCGGAGATCGAATAAACATTAGTATATTGAAAGAAAGAATAAAACAATAATTAATTCAATTAAATATATATATATATATATATGTATGTATTAAATAATTATAATTGATGATTTATAAAATTATAATATTATTTACATTTAATATAAAATAATTTCTTTTTTTTAAAACTAGTTTTCATCGATAATTAATACAATTTATTTAAAATTGCAAAATATGAATATTAAAAATAACATTTAAAAAAATTTATTTTTCAGTCTAAGCAGTCCATTACAGAGAAAAAAAATTATTATTATATTATTAAAATAAAATTATTAATATTATGTTTCGAATGGTAATAAGAAAGAGATGAATGCATTATAAAAATAATTCATTTCGAATAATTGATTTTTCGAGTATGAGATGCATATTTTGGCATGATAACAATCGATAATGATGATTAAAAACATTAAGATCAAGTTTAATTGTGAAACCCATATTGTTGCTACCCCTGTGTAAGATATATTGTCTTTCGTATAACAAAATGATTTGTGATCGAGAAAAAAATATGGGTGTAGAATATTACATTTAGAAAATTATTAATAATAATAATTAATAAATGATTTGCTATGGTGCTATTATGGCACATTTTAAATCATTTAATAATGGGTCTATGAGTTCCTCGAGTGATAATATGTGTCCTGTATTACTATCTTTAGATGCTATAAATGTAATAACCATTGGTAGTTTGTTTATTTGAACAACTTGATGATTCGAATAAATCGATATAACAAATTTATTTTTTCCTAAACCTAATTTACTTCCCTGATCTGTTGTTTTACCAAATGTCGATATAAAACTTGGTTTCATTGCATAATCAGGAGCTTTATTGGTAGCAACTGAAACAAGTTTAAATTATGAATGGGTTTTAAAGAAGAAAAAATTGAATTTAAAAAAAAAAAAAAAAAACAAACGTACCGTCCAATATAGGAACTCCATCTCTATCTGTAATAAGTATACAAAACAATCCATCGACTTTACCGAGTAAGAAAAACAAATATTTTTTCATTTCCTATAAATTATAAATACGTGTAAAATTATATATTTAAGTGAAATAAATAAGAGAAAAGTGATAAACTTTATGTTTAAAATTGTCATCTGATAATAAATCGATAATTGAAAATGATGAAAATGTTTTAATTTTTAATATTTAAAAAAAATAACTTTACCTCAACCATAGCGAATAATAAAAATTACGTTTTTAAACTAAACATATATAAAACAAAGAATAGAAGAAGACATTTTGTAGTGACTGCTCAAAATTTTCTTAATAATTTTTCTAGTTCCACGACACATAGATCAGATACCGACTAATGAAACGCACGGTTTTTTTCCTCTTTATTTAATCCGATATCAATTTAAATTGCACTAAAAAAAAGTTTTTTTTCAAACCGAATAAAAAAATATTATTTACAAATCTTTAAATAATTAATTATACTCGTTATAAAAATGATTTGACACAGAAATAACTTATGAATGATAAGAAATTAAATACAATACACTTACACACATGATAACTAAACTAAAATAAATATTATAATTTAAAAAAATTGACTTTGGCTTTTAATCAATTCTTCGTTGAAGGTTTTACAATGGCGTCGTCATTCGATGAATCGCAAGGCATTGAATTTTTTAGAATATCGTTGGTGACAAACATTTTCGGAATGCTTTCACCAAAATATATTTTATTATTATTAGCTAAAGTTTCATATTTTTTCAATTCTAAATATTCTTTTGTCAGTAATAAACTGTTTGCAGCTGCCTCTTGTTTAGCTTTGTAATAATCAGCATCTGCTTTACTTTTTTGTTTAGCCGAATGAATTTCATCTGAAATTATAAAAAAAAAAAATAATAATAATAATTATCGATCTTATCGTAAACACAATAATATAACTTCCACAAGGTTGACGACTAACCTTCTATGGATGCAATTTTTTGATAAGATTCTTTTTCCATTATTTTTTGACTGAATTGAATTTTAGATACTTGAGCTTCTTTTTCTGCTTGAATTATAGCTTTTTTCCTATCTGTTTCAGCATCCTTTTCGACAACTTTCTGACGTTGAATGGCAATGAGCAGTTGAGTTTTTTCTGATTCCCTACGGAAAAAAAAACAAAAGAAATTATTTTCAATTTAAACAAGAAAAAAAAAATTCTTATTAAATTTGATATAAATAATAATTACATCAATTCATATCCTTTTCTTATTGTTTCAGGTATTTTAGGTTTGGTTATCCTCACCGCTTGAACAAACAAACCGGGAGCCATTTCGTTTAAATCTGTCTGTAAGGCATTTTTTAACTGTTCATCTATCTGATCGAACAAATCAATGTAAACTTCGTGTAATGTATGCCTGCTGCAAAACTGATTTAATTCATGATGAACTTTATTAAAAATTAATGTTTTGTCATAATCAGCTGTGTAATTCTTGACAATGTCATAAACAGCTGTCGGACTAAGAATATTGACCACTTCTATTCTATCGAAATAAATAATGACACCACCACTTGTACCACATGGTACATTTTTAACTTCGTCAGTCTGTAAAGTCACTTGTACCGATCTAAATGTTGTAATGAATGGTATCATCATGTGATAACCTGGTTGTCCAGTACTGGATAATAATGCACCACCCTGAAGTGTAAATAAACAAAGTTAATTTAAAAAAAATAAATCAAGTAAAAATTTTTTCAAAGAGTTATTTACCCTGTAATAAACGCCAACGTGTCCTTCTTCTAATTTATGAAGTGAAAAATTCATTATGATGGTACAAACACCCAAAAATCCAAAAAAAAAAACTAAAAAATTATTACCCATTTTGTTGTATTTTGTGATTAATCACACGCGTCAAACTCTAATCAAGTTTTGATTTTTTTTTTTTTTTTTTTTTTTTTTTAACGATAATTATACATTAGTTTTACGTTAAAAATACGACGACCATTTTTTTTAAAAAATTGTATTTTCTACATTAACATAAATAATTCAATATAATACGTAATTAATCAATATGAACAACAATTCTTTTTTAAATATGCCGCCGGTATAATTTTAAATGCCAATTACTCATCAGAATAAATTTCTATGAAAACATTAACGATGAATATTTTTTAAACAAAACATTTTGAAAACATTAATATTAATAACATTTTTTATTTATTTAAATTATTTAGCGATTGTTAATTGATTTGTAATGCGGAAAAGAAATACACTTATTAGTAATAACGGCCATTAAATTTAACGTGTCAACATAAAATTGTTATGTAACGTAAAGTTTTCTAATTACACTTTCTTTTTGTTGTTTGTTTTGATTTAATAATTTCATTCTCTATGACATACAATCGAAGGGTAAAATGTATAATTTTTTATTTAATCGACTATATTTCATTGTATCAAACGATTTTTTTTCGAGATAAAACGATAATTATCGATTAATCGATTATTATATATACTTAAAAATAAATATTTATTATACAACGTACAGTTTTTTGTTTGTTTTTCACTTAAAAAAATCGTCCTTTTTACAAAATTACAATATTTAAAACTACTACTACTACTACAACTACTATTAACTAATTTTTTTTATTATTATTATCTTTTTTATTCGTTTGACTTTGTACGATTCTCGATACTGTCGACATTCCGTCTACGAATTTCGTTCTGAATAAAACGTTGGCATTATTAAACATTCCATCTTTTAACGAAACTATTATAAATTGTGACGTTTTAAAATGAGATTTCAACATGATTCCAATGTTTTGAGTGTGCGACAAATCCAACGCGGCATCGACTTCGTCCAATATGTATATGGGAGCGGGTTTGAATAAAAGCATTGATAATATGAGGGATAGAGCAACTAGAGACCTTTGACCTCCGCTCAATTCTCCCAGGCTTTCTTTCCACTTTCCGCCGAATCCGACGCGGAATTCCAAACCGTCAAGCACCGTCATACCCTCCAGGGGTTCCAATTTGGCCACGGCTCCCGGTAGCAGAGTGCTAAAGATAGAAGAGAAATCTTTGTTAACTTGTATCCATGCTTGCTTGAGAGCTTCTTTTTTTTTCTCTCCCAATTCCCTGATGACTTCTAATATTTTCTTCTTGTCGTCTTCGACCTGATGTCTTTTCTTCATCAAATCGTTGTATTGCTCTTCCGTTTTCGTCAGCAGATTCATCGCTTTCGTGTTTATGTTTTTCCCCAATTTATCCTTCATTTCCTGTAGTTTTCCGATTCTTTTTCCCGCTTCTTTCGGATCCGTTTCGTTGAAATCGTAAATTCCATTTTTTTGCCCGAAAAATTGTTCTTCCTGGAGAATCCAATCGTGAGCTTTTTGCAATTCCTGAACTCTCCTATTGCATTCTTTGGCTTCTTCCTTCAACTTATCTTTGTCTTGTTCGCATTGTTTGATTTCCAATTCCATTTCTCTCGACTGTTTTAATATCAAATCCTTTTTTCTATTTCCCTCTATTATTTCCTTATTTTTTTTCGCTATCTTATCCTTTATCGATTTCAATTCTTTTTGTGCTTCTTCGACGCTTTTTTTTATTTCTTCCACTTCGGCTTCTAAATTTTTCTTGTTTTCCTCCAGGGTCCTCATCGATTCCTGATGTTTTTGTATTTGTTCCAAATTGGTTTTGATTGAATTTTTCAATTCGTCCACTTCCAATTTTAAACCGTCGTATTCTTCGGCCCGCTTTTCTCTCTCCTTTCGACTTTCCTCGGATTTTTTCCTTAAATTTTTAAGCTCGTTTTCCGCTTCTTTCAATTCTTTCTCCCTGTTTTGTTTGGCATTTTTTATGTTGTTCTTAATGTCGACGAGATTCTTTTTTTCTCTCACCACCGTTTCTTGACATTCTTGTTGCCTTTCCGTCAATTCGTTTATCTTATTCTTTATCGCATTGACTTCTTCCTGGCATTGGTAGTGCGTCGTTTTTTGAAGTCGTTCCCGAATGACGTTCAATTCGTGACTCCTGAGATCTAATTTTTGTTTTAACGAATTGTACTGCGTAGATTTCGACAAAAGCTTTTCCAGTTGTTTTTCTATGACGTTTATTCGAGATTCTTTCGAATCAAAATCACTCGACCACTTTTTTATATCTAAAAGTTTTAAAAGAACCGGTTGAGTTTGTTGTCTAGCACCTCCAGACAATGTTCCAGAAGGATCACACGTGTCACCGTCGAGAGTCACACATTTTTTCATTATGTCCGGATGATAACAAATCTGAAAGTGAAATAAATTAAAAATTAGTTGAATGTGGATATAAAATGTTTAATGGATTTAAAATTAAACGTGGATTTTTTTTTTTTCATTACTTTTTTCGCAACGTTCAAATCTCTGCAGACAAATGTAGTACCGAAAACAAATTGCATGGCCGGTTCAAAAATCGGATCGTAATTGATAAGAGATAATGCAGGCCAAACATTTCCTTTACCAACAAGTTTTTCAGCAGTTTGAACAGTTCTCGAATCTAATTTTCTACCAGTTATCTTATTCAGTGGTATGATTGTAGTCCTCCTTTCTAATTTTCCTTTATCTAATAGTTTTTTACTCGTGAGATCCGTGTCCACTACAACGTTAAAAAGTCTACCGCCTGCTGTTTTTTCAATGGCTACAGCAAATTGTGAATCGCACAAATCAAACAATTTACAAATTAAACCGTGAACTGATTTCCTGTTGAAATTAGGCTCTGGATCTTTATATCTAAAACTTAATCTTGGATCCTTTGATTCTACAGCTTCTATTTTGTCTCTTAATCCTCTTAATTCATATTTTAATTGCTTATTTTCCGCATGTAAATTTTCTGTTTCCTGAGCATCGTATCCTAATTGAGAAATTTGTTTTTCCAACGAACCAACTTCTGTTTCCAAATTGTTCAAAACATCTCCATCTTTTTTAAAATCATTTTTTGTCGTTTGTAGTTCGGCAGTTTTTTTCTTCAGATCTGCATTGCAATGTTGTAATTGAAGTTTACACTGTTCGATTTCAGTTTGAGCTTGAGCGATTTGTCTCTCTGAATCCATAAGTTTGTCCTGTAGAGTCGCTTCTTTTCCTCCATTATCTGCCACTAAACCTGAACTAAGTGCTTGAAATTTATTTTGAGCTTTTTCTAATTCCATTTTATCCTTTTCTTCTTCCTCTGCAAGCCCTTGAAAAACTCCATCAATTTTAGACAATTTTGTCGATTTATTTTTTAATACATTTTCATCATCTTTGATATTTTTTTCCAATTCTTTTATTTTCTTTTTTTCATCTTCCATGTTGTCAATGCATTGATTTTGAGCACCCACAGATTTTGTCAACTGTCTTTCTTTTTCTCTCAAATGTGTTTCAGTTTCAGCTAACTTTCCACCGCTTTCTGCATCTTTCGATTTGTGTAATTCTTCCATTTGTCTATTGATTTCTTCCATTTCTTTTTGACCATTTTCAATAAATTCTTTTTTAGTTCTTATAGTCTCTTTGATTTTTTCCATGCTGATATCTGCTTTTTCTGCTGTTTGTTTGTTTGACACATATTTCCATGCGATGTAAATCTTTTGTAAATATTCTAATTCCCTTTCGATTTTTTTAAATTCTAAATACTGTCCCCTTTCCTCTTTCAATTTTGTCAATTTAGGACTTATGTTTTCATTGACAATTTCATCAATTTGTAACAATTTGGCATCCTTTTTTTCTAAAGTTTTTTCTGCCTGTTGTTTTTTAGATTCAAACATTCTAGTCCCTGCTGCTTCTTCAATCATCGATAGTATTTCTAAGGGTTTCATATTTAAAACTTTTGTTATTCTACCTTGCATAACTAAAAAATGAGGATTATTTACATTTAATTGTACTGAACAAAAAAGATCCTTGACTCTATTATTAGGAGCGTTTAAACCATTAATAAAATATTTATTTTTTCCACCCATAACCACTTGTCTTGTAACCATAATTTCATCATAGCTTTCATAACCAACCGGGCTTTGTTCTTTGTCAGAGTTATCAAACGTAATTGAAACACTTGCTTTTGTCACTCCTGTCTGTCCTTGTTTGTAAACTAAATCCTGTAAAAGAGTAGCACGAACTTGTCCCAAATTTTGTAACCCTAAAACAAAGCAAATAGCGTCAAGAATATTTGATTTTCCACTTCCATTTAATCCAGTTATTGCATTAAATTCACGATCGAAACCGCTAATCTCCGTTCTTCTCCCGTAGGATTTAAATCCATCGATAACAATTGATTTAACAAACATAATTTAAAATTAATTAATAATACTCGAACATGAAACAAACACAATTTTTGGCGGCATTTATCCAGCATCCCTTACTTCTTAACCGTCGTAGATTATCGTCGTGGTTTTATCTGTAATTTGAAATACATGTACACTAATAATTGCGCGCATACATTTTCTATTCCCACGATCATAAATCCAAATAAATTTCAAAATAAAATAAATCCAATATTAAAATGTTTTAAAAAACCAAATTTCTCTTAAATCTATATTTAATATTTTTAACTAAAATAAATAAAAATAAATAATATTTAAATATTTCATATATATTAAAATCAATATTAAAAAAAATAATAATAATAAAAAAGAAAACTTAAAATTGATTTTTCCAATTATAAAAATAATATAAAAAAATAATAAATAAATATTAAAAAAAAACAATGATTATTCGATTATTATAAAAAAAATTTAAAATAAATACTTTTTTCGATTTCATATTTTAAATAAATAAATAAATAAATAAAAAATTGATTTAAATAATTTTTTTTTTTTTAACATTTAATTTTTGTTTAACTTTTGCATTAACGGTATTAAATATATTTAATATTGAATCTAATTTCGAGTTGATTAAATTAAATTGTTTCGGCGTTAAAAATTCCGATTGTGGTAAATAATTTATTATTTGATTTATTTTACCCTCGATTTTATATTTTAAATTTGTTTTATTCAATTTATTTTTTTCTTCCAATGTTAATTCCGACGACGATGGCGGCGGCGGCGGCAACGACGATGACAAATCATTATTATTATTATTATTATTATTTTGTTTTTCAACCGTTCCTTGTTCGGATTCGTTCAAATTTATTATTTTAGACTGTGATTGAATGATTTTTGATTGTGATAAATTTTCATCGGCTGAAAGTAATATTATTTCCGCAACAGATGAATAATTTAAATCACGAGATAAAATAACGATTTGCGATGATGACGACGAGGACGTCGACGAAATCTCTTCTCCCGCCATTTGCAAAACATTGTTTGATGAATTTTTATAATTTTTCTTAAATGAAAAAATAATAATGTTAGAATTAAAGCGAAAACGAACCGACATATTTCTTTTTTAATTAATAATAAATTAACCTGTAAATTATTATCATTCGTTTCTGTATATTCTGTTGGTAGGATGACGCTTTGACCTGGATAAAGTGTAAAATTCTGTTGGATTCCATCATTTAATTTTTCTATTTGAATTTTTTCCAAACCTTCATTTTCTTTTATCCTTTCTTCATTTTTCAACTTTTCATTTTGTGTTTCGTTCGTGCTAATACTTCACAAAAGAAAAAAGAAAATTTACAATATGATAGCTAGAACAAACTAGTTCGAGAAATTTTATGCGAATTTTCTCTCTATTCGTAACTAAATTACAATTTTTCCTTCGACATCTTTTCCCAAACCCATTGTTTCGAATAAATTTTATTATTATTATTATATTAATACCTTTCTTTCATTTTTTTCCCTTGATTATAGGTGTTACTCCTCATTATGTTGTATAAATCCTTTTTAGAAAGTAAATGTATTCTCTTAGCATTTACATTTTCATCATTATTAATACCTTCTTTAATGTCTTCTAATATCGAATCAAATGTAAAACCCTGTTCGATTTTTTCTATTACAAAAAGAAAACAAACCTTATTTAAAATATTATTATTATTATTATTATTATTGATAAAAAAAAAGATTGCTAATGATCACCTGCCAAACTTGCTCTTTCTTCCTTCGATAATTTCAAATGAACAACATCTTTTAAATGACCCAAATGTGTTTTATAATAGATAACTTTGAGTACTCCATTTAAATACTCTGTGACTTCCATAGCAGCTGGACATGTAACTCCAATTTTACACGATCCTACAGATCTCATTCTTAAATAATAAAATAAAATTCTTGAAATCGAGTCAAAATGGTGATGTAGGCTCATGTAGGTGAAGTTGATGATGAGAACGATTTGATTTGTGATTTGACATGAACATACCTGTACTTACCGAATCCTTTGGGACTGTAATGACCAGTTCTATGACAGTTAAAAATTTGTTTTTTAGTGCCATTTATCAATGTTGTTTTTTTCCTACCCATGACAAACAACGATACCGTATTGCTTTCTTCTTCTTTTTTCCATTTTAAAAATTCTTTGTTTAAAACCACAAAAAATTACTTCATTATAATATTTTAGAATTGTTTGGTAAATTATTATTCAAATATTACCTGCTTCGTTGGAAAATTCTAATGAATCTTTTAATATTTTAATCTTGTGACATGTTTCAATATGATTTCTTAATTTTTTCATCATTCTACACATAAAATTACAATTGTTTTCTGGACATTTTATTTTTTTAACCTGTAAAAACCCATTTTGGAATATAATTTATGATAATTTAATCGTTAAATTTGAATTTTTTATTATTTACGCTTACAGACATCCTTTCAGCCTCTTGAAAATTTTTATGTACATCTCTTAAATGCTTCATCAAATTTTTCTTAGCTGTGAATTTTTTAAAACAAACAGAGCAAACATTTTCCAAATCTTTTTCCTGATTAGGAATAACATCTACAATGATTTTTACGATGAATAACATTTAAAAAAAATATTTAAAACAGTAAAAACATTTACTTAAAGCAAATACCTGACATGTTATTTGATGCATTATTAATATTATGAGAATTTAAATGAACTGTTAAAGCGGTTTTTTTAACAAAATTTTTATCACATACGTTACAAGTAAATTTTTTTTTCTTGATTTCATCATTTTTAACTGCATTAATATTTTTATGTGAATGATTTTCCATGATGACAGTATTTAAATATAATTATAAAAACCATTTTAACGGTTTTATTGTAAAATTAAATTGAAACATTACTACTACCTGTTATCTGATATTTATTTTATTGTCTAATGACACGATCCAAACCCCATGAGAGTGTATTACACAATGAAATTTTTACAATGAGATAAAAATAAATTTTTTAATCAATGGCATTAATTAATAGGTTTGAAATTTATTATTAATAATTACGTTGCTGCATTTAATTAAATTATTAAAAATTTCATAAATTTTTTGTTTTATTCGAACAGTAAAATTGATCCCGCTGGATTTCTTAATAAAGTTTTGGCGCAAGGTGTCAGACCCGATGGTCGAGCTTTAGATGAATGTAGACCAATTAGCATAAATGTAAATTCATTTCATAATGCCGATGGATCTGCTATCGTTAAAATAGGAAATACTGCAGTCGTGTGCGGTGTTAAATTAGTCGGTTGAATTCTACTTTTTGTTTTCCATACAAACCCTTATAGTTTTCACCTTTTCACCTATTTTTTGTATTGTAGGAATTAGCTAAACCCAAAGCCGAGACTCCAGATCAAGGTTATTTAATACCCAATGTCGATTTACCTCCCTTATGCTCTGGACAGTATCAACCAGGACCTCCATGTGATTATGCACAAGAAGCTACAAAATTTGTCAATGAAATTTTACTCGAATCCCAATGCATCGATTTGAAAGCTCTCTGTATTGTTCCTGATCGTTTAGCTTGGGTTATTTATTTAGATATTATTTGTTTAAATCAAGATGGAAATTTATTAGATGCAGCATTAGCTGCTGGTATTGCTGCACTTAAAGTAACTACTTTACCAGAAGTCATTTACAATGTAGAAAGTGGTGAAAAAGTTGTTAATCCATTAAAAAGACAACAATTAAATGTAAAAAAATTACCATTATCAACAACTATAGCAGTTTTTAAAAGGTTATTAAAACTTGATGTAAAATTATTCCTTTTCCTCAAGACAAAAGATATAAACAATTTTTCTTTTTTTTCTTTTAGCGATTGTTTATTAATCGATCCAACAGTCGAAGAAGAATCATTTTCATCGGGAACAATATCGATTGTAATAGAAGCAGATTCCGGTGATATTTGTGGCATTCATCAACCAGGAACAGAACCGTTGAAACCTTCGGAAATAGATTTTTGCATAACTCAAGCTCAAGTTAAAACCAAAGCTGTTGCAGAACTTATAAAAACAGCAATTAAAAACTCTATGAAATAAATAATAATAATAATAATAATAATTTTTTTTTAATAAAACAAAAGTGAAAAAAGTGGTATTATTAATAACGATAAGAAATAAGTTTTTGTACTTAAAACAAAAGAATAAATAAATAAATAAATAAATTGACTTTTTCACTGATTATGTTTTCTAATATCAAAAGACCTTGATTACAATAATCAACACAAAGAATTCTCGAAATTTTGATTATTTTAAATAATGCCTTATTATCAATAAATTATTATTATTATTATTAATTCCTTTGTTTTTCCCTATCCAAAATTATTATTATTAATAAAAAAGTGATAGTGTTAATAATAATAATAATAATAATAATCACTTGGTCATAATTTATTGAATAAATTTAACTTATAATGAATTTTTTTTTATAAATTTTTATAATTTACACGAGAGACTCTAACAAATTAAAAAATACTTATAATAAAAATAAAAATTATTTATCACCAAAACTAAATACTTTTATTAATTTTATTATAATGTCTAGAAAAATAATAATAAAATCACAATTCAGTTAAATTTATATTTTAAAAAAAAAAGATGCAAATATATATATATTTATATATATATATTATCGACAAGAGACATTTTTTAATTTTCGAAAAAGGTGCATCGACAAATAAAAAAAAAATTAAAGTTAGTATTGAATTAAACCTTTTTTTTTAAAACTTTTTTATTCTATTCTATTGCTTGACCAGACCAAACAAAACTTTCATCATTTTAACTTTTATTGCCTTGTAAATATATTAAATAATATTTAATAATAATAATTTTTAATTTCGAGAAGAAGAAAATGAGAAAAATTTCAGGCAGTTAAATGCTGGTCCAGTAAATCACAATCCTTTCAATTTGTTTTTTAAATCGTTATTAATATAAAAATAATAATAATGAGTTTAGTTACACTCGATAAAGATATATAAGGGTAAAATACAGACAAAAACAAAAAAAAAATTAAAATTTTTCTTACATGTTATTCAATACTCGATATTTTTGTAAATTGATTTTTAACGATAGCTTTCGATATTACCTTTCGATTTCTAATTATTGAAAATTATAAATTTTTTTTTTTTCCTTTTTTATTATTTTTATTATTTTTATTATTATTTTTTTTTTAAGAATAATAATTCAATTTGACATATTTATAAACACAAAAAAAAAGAAAGAAAAATTATTAATAATAATAATAATAATAAACTATAAAATTTAAAAACATAATGAAATTATTGAAAAAATTATTTCTCGTTTTTTTTTTTTTAAGCTATTTTCTTTGTTCTTTTTTTTTCTGTTTTTTTTTTTACCAACACACTTGATTACAAACATTTCTTAATTCATTCACTTGAGAAAATATTACATAAAAAAAAGAGGGAGAAAAAAAAAAAAAGATTTTTTTCTTTTATTTGCTGTTGTTGTTATTGTCGATAATTAAGCTCCATAAACATTTTCATCGGAATAAGCAATGTAAAGAAAAAAATCTTCTTCGTGATGTTCCTGAAAATAATTTATAATAAAAATTTTTTATTAATATTATAATAAACAAAAGAAAGAGAGAGAATAATAAACAGGTTGTGAGAGAAAGAAAGAGAAAGAGAAAGACATTAATTGATGTTGTCCTATCAAGGGCATATTGAACAGCGACAACAACAACAACAACATTCTAAATTATTTGTTACACTTTTTTTCCTTTTCCACCATAAAAATCATCATTAAATTTAAATAATGATGATAATAATAATCATTTTGTTTTTGTCAATCATTTACTAAAATAAGTTTAAAATGAATTTATTAAAAAGGAAAAAAAATTAAAATTGTGGAAATATCATCTTTTGTTTACAATTGAATACAACATTTTAATGGCGTAGTAGTCATAAAAAAAAAAAAAAATTTTTTTTTGCAAAATCGATCGAATTCATTGATTATTGTTATTTTTAATTATAGTAGATGATTATTACGTTATTATTATTATTATTTATGATAATGATTAAGGTTTTTTAGTAAAAAAAAAAAAAATAAAAATAAAGAAAAATTTTTTTGTGTTACCTGATAAAGACTTCCCATTGTGGCTGATGTTGGTGGAATAACGTTGTTAACAAAAAAAAATAATGCATCTTCGGGTCTTAAATGAATTCTTTTTCTAATTAAAAAATAAAATTGTCCAACGGTTAAATCCGATGGTACTAAATATTTTTTTTTATCCAAATCTCCAATCCTTGCTTTTGGAGCTTTTTCGACGATGACCTTTTACAAAAAAAGAAAACATTTTTTGATAATGTAAAAAGGGATTCATTTTCATATCGAAAAGTAAAATGAACAAAGAGAAAAAGAGAAAAATAGAAAAAGAAAAATAGAAAAACTGCGTCGTAAATTGGTCAGTAATAAAAAATTATTATTATTATTATTATTACGCATTTCGCAATTATCGTCGTTCTCAGCTGATTTTTTTTTTTTTTTTTTTTTACTTACTGGAACTCTTTCCGGATATTTTCTCCTTATTTTTTCACCTTCTGCTTTTCTTTTTTCAAATGGATATTCTTCCTTATATTGAAATTTCATTTTTATTCAATAAAAAAATTTACAAAATTAAAACGAAAATGACAAAAAAAAAAAAAAAATAATAATAATAATAAAAACACGGACGATTCTGATACTTTTAACGTAATGACAATCACTGATATCGACGCGATTCTTTGTCTTCGTTTAATATGGCAACGAAATAAAGAAAATTCATGTGCGTTCAGAAATCTTTTCTTTTTTTATTTTGCCCGCCATTTTTATTTTTCAATATTAGCTATATTACCAATAATAATAACGAAATCGATAAAAATTAATTGAAAAACAATTTAATTTTATTATATAAAATATATATTTATTTATTTATTTATTTGTCATTTACAATGATTTTTCCGATTGAAATAAATAATTTACACGACAATATTCAAAACATTTGCTTTGATTTTTCTCTACATTTTCTACATCTTTTACAACTTTCTTTATATTTTTTACGCCTGTTTGTAAATCTCCTACCCGGATTACAAATAAAACGTTCGCTTTTTTTAAATGTTTCCCTTTCTTTATCCGACGCGTTTTTCGGCTTGTCCATCATGGCCGTCGTCGTCGTCGCGTTTTTGACATGATCATCACAATTATTAACGATGTAATGATTATTTGTCACGTCGGAATTTTTCACATTGCTTTTTCTAGGCATTCCCAATCGTATACATTGTTGTACGAGTGCTTCTTCTAATGGCGTACAACCTCCGTTGTAAACGGACTCTCTCGGTACGGTATTGGATGATTGTGGTGACCAGGCACAAGGCTCCCCAGAATATGATAAATAAGATGTTTGTGACGACAGATTATAATCGTATTGAGGTGTTCCGACAGCGACGGGAAATTTGCTATCACAATTAACTGGTTTGACTTGATTCAATTTCGACGAATTACAAACTTGTTTGTCTTTATTTAATTTTCCTGAAAGTAATTTTAAGCAAAACTTTACGATACGACAAACAAACAAACAAACACAAACACAGTAAAACAACAAAATTTACTTTCGTTTGTTCCGAGTATATTTTCAGGTTTTTTATTCTTTTGTGGCATTCCCAGTCTTATGCATTGTTCAACGAGTGCCTCTTCGAAAGGTGTACAAGATTTCGAGTACCAAGCTTCGGATGAATCTAAAAGAAAAGAAAAACCAATTTTCCAGTTTCTCATTTTAACCCCGGAAAAACAAAAGTAATTTTCCTTACTTCCATCTAACAATTTAAAATTTTCCGGTTCTTTACATGATTTACTATCGATTTTCTTTGGCATACCCAATCGTATGCATTGTTCGACGAGTACTTCTTCTAATGGTGTAAACGATTCCGAAGACCAATCATCGATCGTTAAATTAGACGAATGAATTTTCAAACTATCATCATCATCATCATCATCATCATCTTTTAATAAATTATCCGAATTTCCTTTTTTCTTGTTATTATCATCATTTTCTATAGGAATCCTTTGTGAAATTCTACATTCTTTCGTTATCCCCTCTTCTTCCCTTTTCATCACTTCCTGTTTCTCCGTGAAACAACTCGAACTCTTTCCTGTCAATAATAATAATAATAATAATAAAAAAAATGTTTTTTATGTTAATTTGAAAACGTGTAAAATATTTCATACTTTCTTCGACTGGAGTTTTATTTACAAATGAATTCAATGGCTCTGATCCATCCTTTGATGGTAAAGATGACTCGACACATTTTATAACAAATTTACTATAAAAAAAGAAAACAAAATGGCGTCATTCATTTTGATTGTAATGTTAAATCATTCGTTTTGATTTCATACCTGTTGGATTCGATTCTTATGTTATTTATTCCACTAATTAAAGCTTCATCGTTAATGTCTGAACCTGATTTAGTTTGTGTTTTACTAATTTTATCATCATCAGTTTTTCCCTCAGTATTTTTAACATCTTTTTGAGAATTTTGTGGCAGAGTTGGTAGACTAGTTTCTCTAATTTTCATTTCATCCCCACCAGCGACAGAAGAAGCAGATGAATTAGTCTTAAAAAATAAGTTTTCACAATTATTTTCTTTTCTCTCTCTGTGAAAGAAAGGAATTGTATGTGTATGAATTGATGTTACCTTTAAATTAAAATCAGTTTTAACTGGATTATCAATGTTTAAAGAACTTAAACTAGTCGCTCTTGAAAATTCAATAGGTGTATCTTCTTGTTTATATGTTGTTACATCATCTTCGAAAACACTTTTTTTCTCACCCAAATCTTCATTTATAGAAAAACAAACAAGTTTGTTCCTTTTCGGACTAGAGGGTGCTGTTTGAGTCGGAGAATCTGGTAATTCGCTTGGAGAAATGACACCGCTTGTAGTGCGACTAAAATCACTCACAACAGAACTTCTATCATCTGGTATTGATTGAGTTATTTGTTCGAAACTACTGAAGGAATTCAACGAACTGCATCTTGAAAACATCAATGGTGTTTCATCCTCACATGCATAATGCTCTGTGATTTGTTCATTTGTAACTTCAACTCTTTCGGATTGTTCGACAAAATTTTCCGATGATTTACTATCGTTATTTTCATAATAATTAAAATTATCATTTTTTTCTTCTTCGTCACTCGGTTCTCCATATTTAAGAGTGAAATCGGTTGGTTGATCTAAATCTGTTTCAGCATAATCACTATATTCTTTATATTTAACTTTATCACTTTGATAATAATTAAAATTTGAATTTTTAATCACTTCTTCATCTACTTCTTCTTCTTCGACTGGTTTCTCGCCATATTTTAAACTGTAATTTGTCGGTTGTTCTTTACATAAATCTTCGTAATTGGAAAAATTTTTAAATTTATTTTTATCATTATCATCATTTGTTTTAATTATTATTTTACATGATTCTGTTTCTGAATATTTTAAACTGTAATTAACTGGACATTCTTCTTCGTTTTCTGAAAAGCACTGATCATACAAAGCATCACGATCTGAAATATTTAAAAAATTGTTGGTAAATTTAACATTTGATGTAAAAATTTCTAAAATCTATCATTACCTATTGATAAACTTGAATTTTCTGTATTTTTCATTTCTCTATGTGTCATTGTTATTAACAATCATAAAAAAAACTTTATGTTAGCCATATACATAATTTTATTAACATTATACATATTATGATTCCTTACTGATTGACTGACAACCCGTAAAAATGATATTTTACATAAAATTGAATCATTTTAAAACGTTTTTCTAATAATTACTAACTCGATTATATAAATAAACCTGAAAAAAAGAATTTTACATTGAAAAAAATAAAATTTAAATTTAAATAAAAAAAAATTAAAAAAAAAAAGGACGCGGAGATTAAATTATTTTGACCGACGCAAACGATAACTTATCAAAATTAAATTATTATTATTATTATTTTTTTAAATAAAAATCGTTTATATCTTATAAAAAATAATATTTATTAATTACTTCACCTAATCTAAAAAATATCTTTCGGTTACTTAAAATAAATAAATAAATAAAATTTGTTTTTTTTTTTTTTTTCTTGTTCAAAATGTAATGATAATTTACATACTACTACTACTACTACCAATTTACACTTTAAATAAATAATGTTTTTTTGTGACGTGGTTTTAGAATTGAATTCGCGGTTTTTTTAAAATTTCGTCTGCATCATAATATTTGTAAATAGGGTAAAATTATTATTTTCTTTAAGTAGAATGTAATGAAATAAAAAACCATAAAACAAAATTTTTTTTAAAAAATCAAATTTATTAAAAACAAAATAAAACTTATTTATTTACAAATAATAATAATAATAATATCAGAATGTATTTTTATATAATTCAAACATAATTATCTTAAACAATACCTTAATTATTTATTTTGTTTAAAAAAATTAATGGAATAAATAATAATAAAATTGAGTATCACAATATAAATCAACCTCTTTTTGGCATATACAATACAAAAAAAAAAAAAAATTAACGACTTTTTTGTGCTAAATTTTTTTTTTATTATAATATTAATAATAATAATAATGATAAATCTCGATCCAGTCGTCGTTTCGCGCGTGTATTCAAAAAATCTTTTTTCATTTTCTATGTGATAAAAGAAAACTTTGAACAATTTTAAAATTTAATTTTAATTTTGTCATGACGTCTCTGTGATGTTTAGACGTGTCTAAACCGAACGGATCGAGGCATTCTCTATTCATGACGGCTATTCTACCACCCGAGAGCGAATGTAAAAATTTATAATAGGACGGCCTTAAATTTTGCGGTTCCAATATGGCCGTGTGAAAAAGAACGGCCGTTGAAAAACAATAGAGTAATATTGTTCCGTAGGGTATTTTTGGTAAATAACCCGATTCGACCATTTTAACGTAAAGAATCTAAAAAAACGATAAGAAAACAAATTTAAAAAATTCCTCCTCCCCCCCCCCCCGTTTCATTTTACACGAACGTACCTGAAAAGCTTTCCACATGACGTATAAAGCAGCCGTGCTATCCGGATAAAATTGAAAAGCTAAACCTGCTAATAAACCTGATGGTATGGCATGAAATTCAGAATCCGAACCGCGTAACCATCTTAAACCGCACGAAGAACTCTAAAAAGAAAACATTTTTCAAAGTCATAGAGTAATAAAAAAATGTCTACCGTTAAACATATAATGAAACTCACTCTAAACAATAAACAAAACAATCCTAAAAATTTTCCTAAATTTAAAACTTTATCCGAAAAAAATATTCTGAATAAAATGGAAGGTTTTCGTAGAATTTTTTTCGCAGAAAGTACCAATCGTAGTGCCAATTGAACACCGTAACCCACGGCCAACATTTTTCCCAAACCCTACAAAAAACAAAATGGCGGCGATCATATTTATTATTACAAAACTTTTTCCCGCATAAGAGGAGATGGATACAAAATAAAACCTGCAAAGAGTAAAAAATGCAACTGTGAGGATGCGGACAATATGGCGACCGAGGTTGAAATCTCACGCCGTCAATTAAAACCATGTAAGCGTGACAAATATTCGATATAATTATATACATTGAATAATTATCATCAGTCGATGAATTCGTTTGAAATTTACACCTTTTAGGCGGCGGTGAATCCACCGATTCCATCATCGGTCTTTCCGGTGATTTTCCTTCTTCGTAACGACCCACAACGTACCTGTAAACAAACGCCATACTCATTTCCGCTTTTTCTTTCATTATTATTATTATTATTATTATTATTATTATTATTATTATTTACCTCAGTGCTGAAAACATGGAATCTTTATTTTCTACGTCACTTCGAAACCAATAGAGTAACAATGTCGTCGACAGAGTAAATATAATCGTTTCGCCAAATTTTATCGGTTTGACCCAACCTCTCCAAACGGCCATTCTGAACAGTGTTTCGGTCGCCTGAAAATTTCGAAAACGTTAGAGGGCACAGGGGGGCAGTGTGGGGGGGGCAGTGAGGGGGAGGGGAATCGTAACAACTCACGACGTTTGTGACGTAAAGGCAAAGTATGGGACGTCTAGATGATCTTTCCAAATGTATCGCAACGACGCTGCTTAAAAACGAAGGCCAAAATGACACGGAATATTTGTCGAAACGACCCGTTAATTTCCTGTTCAACAGAGACAAAAAAAAATGAAAGGAAACGGAAGTAGTAGTAATAATAATAATAATAATAATAATAATAATAATAATAATAATAATACAAATGTTAATAAATTCATCATCACCTTAGTCCGCATATTAGAAATGGAAATCCAAAGGAATGAGTCGTTAAAAAAATTGTCGATTGCAATATTCCCAATAATGTTTCTTTCATGACTTTTTTTGTTAATTTTTTACGTCTCATTATTAACGTAAACTGAAACAGAAACAAATAATAATAATAATGCTAATAATAATAATAAAATGAATGAAATCAATCGTTTAATAAATTTCAGGTTAAATTCGAAGTTAAATTCAATATTTTAATTTTGTTTGTTTTTTGAAAAAAATTGTAAATTGATATTTCCTCCCCCCCCATGCCAAGGCATCCAACATTTGAAATACAAAAAAAAAAAAAAAAAAAAAAAGTAAACAAAAATGTTGACATAATCATATTCCAACATTAAAAAAATTACAAAACTTTCATTTGTTTATCGTTTAATTCGTTTAACTATTCCATGTATTATAAATAAAAAAAAAAGCAAATCGATTAGTTTTTTTCTTTTTTATCTTATCTGTTACGACTATTCTCTCTCTCTCTCACTCTCTCTCACTTGAAACTTTACATTATTATCTAGTTTAAAAGAAAAATCAATCAATAATAATAATAATTTTTATCACACCTGTTTTAAATTGTGAAAAAATTACCATACATACCAAATAAACAGTTGTGTATGTTTTTAACGACTGGAAAAAAGCGAATACCAACAATTCGAATGTCGCAGTCGTACATGAATTGTTCCACGGATGAACATATTCAATGCAACTTGTTTCGATTGTTTTATATTCTGGGAGACTTAAAACTGCCATTTTTATTTTATTTAATTAATAAATATTATACTATAATTTCTCGAGCATTTTACTTCTTTTTATTCCTCCTGTTAGAATTGATTATCTTCTATCTCTTTTTAAAACTGAAACAAAATTAAAAATTATTAAATATAAAAAAAAAAAAAAAAAAAAAAAAAAGTAATAATTTGGACTTTGCCTTATCTACGTTCCAAATGGGAAAAAATAAAAAGTCATGTTCAAAGTATTATTATTTAATTAATAAATTAGGTTAAATAAAAAATTACGTTATTAAATACAAACAATTATTATTATTATTATTTTAATAAATTAACGTGGCAAAAATATTTTTATTAATTATTTAAAAAAAAACAAAAACTTACAACAATCCACTACTGTAAATATCATTTATTTTTCCTTTCAAACTTTTTTTTTTTTTTAATAAAAATTTTTTATATAATCGGTTGATGATGATAATAATAATAATAATAAAATTAACAAGTGACCGAACGACACTTGACTAACTGGCAAATGAAAAAAAAATTAAAATTAAAATTAAAATTAATTTTTTTTTTTTTTTTTTTTTGTTAAGAAATTTCACTTGTTTAAAAAAAGTTTTTTCTAGTGTCACGTCTTTTTCAAAGTTCAATGCCATGTGTTCTTTTATTTGTTGCTGCCACTTTCAATTTACCTCACTACCTGCGATTGAAGTGTTTTTGTTTTAAATATATATGTATATTTTGTCAGGTTGATATTATTAAACGTTTTGTTTGAGTATAAATAAAAGTTTTACGCATGTCCGCCATTTTGTTTTTTTAAAATGGGTAAAAAAACAAAGAACAACAATGGTAATTTGGGTAGAGCTCTTATCAGTGACAGGTTTTCTGGTACGAAAAGGAATAAAAATAGGGATAAGGATTCAATGATGCATGCATGCGAATTAAACGACGGTTACGATTGGGGACGTTTAAATTTAAAATCCGTTACGGAAGAATCATCATTCCAAGAATTTTTATCAACGGCTCAATTGGCTGGAACGGAATTCGAAGCGGAAAAATTAAATATAAAATTTGTTAAACCCACGGTGAGTTGTGACGTCACGGGAAGGAGTTTAAGTCAAGTCGAGAGGAGACATTATGATATGATAAAAATACCGAGGAGACCACCGTGGAACGAACACACGACCCCCTCCGAATTAGAATCCATGGAAAAACAATCTTTTTTAGAATGGAGAAAAAAATTAGCTGAATTACAAGAAATCGAAGGATTCATGTTGACACCATTTGAAAAAAATTTAGAATTTTGGAGACAGTTATGGAGAGTCATAGAAAGGAGCGACATTGTCGTACAAATTTTAGATGCAAGGAATCCATTATTGTTTCGATGTGAAGATTTAGAAAAATATGTGAAAGAGGTTAGCGAAAATAAGGAAAATGTTTTACTCTTGAACAAAGCTGATTTTTTAAACGAAATGCAAAGAACAGCTTGGGCTGATTATTTCACTAGAGAAAAAATTAAAATTATTTTTTATTCTGCAACGGATGCCATGACAGGTAAGTAATTTAATTATTTTTTTCGCTTGTTGTTATCATTATTAATATTTTTGTTTTTCATTTTACAAGCAGACAATTTAAAAGAAGGCAACGATGATGAAACGAATAAACTATTAAAAGAATTATCATTGAAAGAAGATAAAGAAATAGTCAATACGAATAAAATTTATTCGAGCGAAGAATTAATAAATTTTTTTAGAATATTTCATGAAGCTCCGAGAGTGAGTCAGGGCAAGACAACGGTTGGACTAGTGGGTTATCCAAACGTTGGTAAAAGCTCAACGGTCAATTCGCTTTTGTCTTGTAAAAAAGTAGCCGTGTCAGCAACGCCGGGCAAAACGAAACACTTTCAAACGTTTAACTTATCAGACGACATTATATTATGCGATTGTCCGGGTCTCGTCATGCCCAGTTTCGTATCGACCAAATCCGACATGATAATCAACGGTATACTACCCATAGATCAAATGAGAGATCACGTACCGCCCGTCACGGCCGTCGCTTCTCTCATACCCCGTCACGTTTTAGAAGATACCTACGGTTTGATACTACCCAAACCGAAAGAGGGAGAAGATCCGGACAGGGGTCCGACGTCGGAAGAATTATTAAACGCGTACGGTTACAATCGGGGATTCATGACTCAAAACGGTTTACCGGACAATCCGAGATCTTCCAGGTACATATTAAAAGATTTCGTTTCCGGTAAATTGTTGTACTGTCACGCTCCGCCCGATTTCGAACAGAAATTATATCAAACGTATCCGGATGCGAAAAAAATAAGAAATATGGATAATGCGAATACGAGATATGCGAGAGTCGTCAACGGTGCAAACGGTTCTAAATCCACGACGGAAACGATAGACAGACATTTTTTTAAAAAAAACAACAGTCAAGTTCACGTTAAGGGAATACAAAAAATATTACAATATTCGACCGTCATGTCGGATTCTGATGCGAAAGCTTTGGTGGAAAATAATTCAGGTTCGAAACCTTGGAAACAATATAACAAACACGCGAATAAAAAGAAAAAAGAAAAATTGAGAAGAGTTTATTGTAATTACGAGTATCAATAGTACAAGCAGACGACATCCCGTACGAGAAAACCTAACTCCAATACAATTTTTTTCAATATGGCGGAAGAATGTGAATCGAAATCATTGTAGATTTCAATCCAATCAAATATATATATATATATATATTTTTTATACGCATGCGTGTGTAATTTTTTTATCATTTTCCATATTTATTTATTTATTTATATATATATATATTTATAATTATGTATAGTATTTACATATACATCATCAAATTTAAAAAATATTAGAGAAAACCAATAAAAAAAAAATGTGAAGAACGTTAACGGTTATACAAATAAATAAAAATGTAACCTTATACAACGTTTCGTTCAATATCCGGTAGCCATTTTTGTAAATAATAATAATAATAATAAATAAAAATATTAAAAATTTCATTCGATTATGAAAAATGATTATGATATAAAATTAATAATTATATATTATAAATTCATACGTTACACTCACACTCACGCGCACGCGCACTCACACTCGCACAAAAACGGTTGATTAAGTACAAATAATAATAATAATAATAATAACAATTGTAATTGTAATATTTGATTTAACGGTTTTTTCGTTTTTCTTTTCTTTTCTTCTTCTTTTCATTATTATTATTATTATTATTAGTTTGTACTTTTCTATATAAATATAATTTCTATTATTATTATTATTATTATTATTATTGAAATTCGTTAAAACGATTAACCGGAAAAACCGAATAAATAAAATAAATAAATCAAAATAAAATAAATTAATACGAAATAGAATAAAAATGATTTAAGAAGTAAAAAAACAAAATGGCGACCGGATGTGACGAAACGGGAGAAAAAATTTTTTTTTTTTTTTTTTTTTAATACAAATTCATTGATACCATAAAAAAAAAAAAAAGGAACTCGCACGTGCGTATTATTATCATCATTATTATTAATGTAATTACGATTAATTTATCATCATTATCGTCTTGTGTTAGTGATAATAATAATACGCGTAATAAATCGATTATATATATATATGTGTGTTCAATTAAAAAAAAAAAAAATTCCCGATCGATTATCGATTATCGATTAATAATACGAAATAAAATAAAATAAAAAAAAAAAAGTATGAGACGAATAATTTTCTTTTTTTTTATAATTATTTAAGCGTCACTAACAAGCTACCATTTAGCACTTTTTTTTTTTTTTTTTTTTTAAATTTTTTTATTTTCTTTTTATTTCATTTTATTATTATTATTATTATTAATTAATTAATTAATTTATTCATTTATTTACTTACTTACATCGATCTCAGTGTGTGTGTGTGTGTATAAATAAACGTAAGAAAGAAAGAAAGAAAGAAAATAGTTTAATAGTTAAACCATTTTTCTTTTGTGTTCTTTTTGTAACGAACTTTTTTCGAACGCGACGGTTACGCGATGACGTCAAACAACAAATTTTTAAAAAAAAATTTTTTCATTTAACAAAACACAAAAAACAGCAAAAAAATTAATATTTAAATATGGCGGATTCGTTATAATTAAAAACTTGTAAACATTTTTTTTAAAAACTATTTCAAATTAAAAAAAAAAAAAAATCCGTTAAAACTTTTAAATTTAAAATAAAAAATAAAACAAACGAACCAAAGTCGAGAAAATTTTCGTTACTACTACTACTGCTCCGTTCCGTTCACGAAGGGGGGATGATGTGAAATAAGAAAAACGTGTCAGGAGTAAATACCGGAAAAACACGATCGTTACCGAAGTTTAACGAAAAAAAAAGGTTTTCCTACCGATAGAATTTTAACGTGCAATTTATACATATAAATATCATTTTAATTTGTTTTGTTTTTTTTTTTTTTTTGTTTCTTCTGCTTTTCTTTTTTCTTGTTTCTTCTGCTTTTCTTTTTTTTTTTTGTTTCTTCTGCTTTTTTTCTTTTTATACAGTCTTTTCATATTTACATGATTTATATTGAAATAAAAGAAACAAAAAAAAAATGACGACAACGACAACGAGTCGGTGTGTCACGCACGACATTTTCTTTCTTTCTTTTTTTAACGGCCATTTTGTTTTTCGTAATAATCGATTTTACACAAAATGAGACAAAAAAAAAAAAAAAAAAATTATTGTGCCCGGTTTTTTTTTTTTTTTTCCGTATAAATTCACTGTTAATAATAATAATAATAATAATAATTATAACTACATTTTACACAAAGTTTTGGCAATCAAATTGAGAAAATCCCCCCTTTTTTTTTTTTTTTTTTTTTTACTTTACTTATTTACATATTATTAATTGTTTTGTTTTGGAATTCAGACGACGAAAGTTTTTTTTGCCGGAGGAAAATTTAAATAATAATAATGATGAAAAGGAATGTCCGCCGCCGCCGCCGCCGCCGACGCCGACGCGATCGCGAATTTCCAAATAATAATAATAATAATAATAATAATAATTCTTTTTAAAAAAAAAAAATGGGTAACTTCGTTCATTCACATTCATTCAAAGAGAGCGAGTATATCATCGTTTGTGGCCACGCCTGCGTGTCCCGTACTACTTGCACCGCTACTTGGAGGCGTTGCAAGGTCCGGTGGATCCAAATAAGATAATAATTCCATTGGATCGACGACGTTATCTGGGAGCAGCTGTTGGGAAAAAGACAAACACATATATATATATGTAAACAATGTGGTTAAGAAGGGGCGACAACATTGGAAAAAAAAAAAAAAAAAAAAAAATTTTTTTTTTTTACATTTAGAGCTTCTTGGCCTGTGCCTTCGCCATCGATAACAGCTGCCGGATCGAAATTGAGATCAGATGGCAAATCCGTCGAATGATCGCTGGTGGTTGTAACATCACCGCAGTTGTTGTGATTTGATATGTCATTCGAGGGTACGCTTGGAGGTCCGCTTGGCGTGTGTGGCGTTCCGACGGGCGTGTGAGGAGTGTGTGGAGTATGTGGCGTGTTAGGCATCTGGAAAAAAAAAAAAATTTTTTTTTTTTTTTATTCTCTCTCTCTCTCTCTCAAGTTTATCCAACTTTTGAAAAAAAAAAAATAAACGATGACGTTACCTGTTCGTTTAATGATTTTTCAATGGCGTTCAACGGATCTAACGTATTGATGGAATCGTTCATGTGTGTCAACGGTCCTCCTCCGTTTGAATATTTATTTCCCAAAGGACTCGATACGACGTCGTAACAATTTCCTCTGTTCAATGGACTGTTACCGTATGATGGAGGATTGTTATTGGACATCATCGAACCACTTGCTATGCCTGAAAAAACAAAATGTAAATTTAAATACCTTAGCGACGGTGTGGAAAACAAAAAGGAAAAAAGAAAAAAAAAAAAAAACCGACTGTTCATATCTGGCGGAATGTATGGTGACATAGCTTGATTCATGTTGTCCCACGAATTGAGTGTGGGTAAGGTCATGCTTCCGGGTGACATTGCCTTGTTCAACTTTTTACTTCCTCCGCAAGATTCGTTTTCATCCTCCGTTTTGATCCCTTGACTTAAACTTTTTGCCGGTTTCCAATTTGCCGCCGAATCTATGGTCACTTCTTCAACTTCCGAACTGTTTAACGTATTCAATATGCCCCACATGTACTGATCAACTTCCAATCCTTCGAGTTGAGCTGGTTTACTACGGAGAAAAAAAAAAAAAAAAAAGTTTTGAAACATTTGTCGTAGGCGTTTTTTTTCAAATCGTTCGCGAATTTGTATTGTTTGTAAATATTTACTTGCAAACGGGACACCTCCAAGAACCGCGTTCGCAATTCAACTGTAAGTACGATTCCAAGTCGAAGCACTGAATGTGCTTACAGTCGTGTCCTCTCGCCGGCAATGTTATTCTTTTGAACGTGATCGGACATTTCATCGAGACTTTTAATGCCGTTTGTTCGACGGAATCTCTGTCCGACGACATGCTACCCCCGCTCGTCGGATTATTACTGAAATTTCTTTTTATTTTAGCGATGCAATGATCCGCCGTGAGAAGTCTTTTCCTTAGGAGCCCTTGTAAAACGCTTCTCACGCTCGGCCTGTGGACTAGTTGAAGAACGAACAAGTGGGACTGGAAACGGACACAAAAACAAACGGTTTCATTGATACGCGTAATACGACCCGACGCGAAATAATCGCGCGGGGGGTGGGGGGTGGGGGAGAATTGCGGTAGAATTTTCCAAACGTTTACTCACACAACAACAAGTTGAAACCGTTATTTGAATCGTGTTCCTTCCCGGTTGACAAACATCTTTTAAATAAAGTGGCTTGTGAGAGGTTTTGTTTTCCCCTCTGTCGATGCTCAATGGCGTCGCATTCACAGACACTTGAACGGATGCCGGCCAATTCGTGTTCATTTGTCTATCTTCGTGATGGAAACATTTTAATTGAAGTTCCAAATCCGATCTAAACCGTATAAAACAATATATTAATAAAACATCGGATAAGACAAGGAGAAGGAGGGGGAGGAGAAGGTGGAGGAGAAAAAGACAGGTTCAAAAAACTAATGAAGAGGAACCGCCTCTTAAAAGCGTAAGAAATGTGGGAAACGAACGAAATAATCTTCGTACGCCTCCAGGGGGGATAGAAAAAAAAGTAATGATGATGATGATGATGATAATAATGATAATAATTTTTCACTGGATACAAAAAAAAAAAAAAATGATGAATGTAATCTTGAATTGTCTAAATAATAATTACCGCCACATGAGAGTTTGATGAACGGTGGGCTTTAATTGAAACACGTGATTGCTAACTGCTAAATTATGTTCTAATCTGAATGGCGGAAGAATAATTCCGTCTCGAACTGGAAATGTTAGTCTTAATTCATCATCTTCTGAAATGATTTTAAAAAAAAAAACAAAAATTATCGTCTGCTTGAATGAATTCAATTTATTCCCCCCTCCCCCTTCCCTCCCCCCACGTCAATTTGCGGGGGGAAAAAAACGTTTTCGACTTCTTTCTTTTAAAAATTTGTCGTGGAATAAGATTCTTGAGAAAGTAAAAAAAAAAAAAAAAAAAAAAAACAAATGATAATAAAATCCATAGAGTAAATAACTATGACACTTACTTTGCATCATGAGGGAAGGTTTTATGTCTACGAAATTTGGTTTGACATCTGCATTTGGGCTCACGTAAGGCGGCATTAATCCGGCCGGAGTCAAAGGTGGAGTGGGATTTCCAGGTAATGGGTTATGCTGATAGCTCATATTTCCTCTCATTGAACCGTCCTGCCCAGACGGACTTCCTGCGAATGCACAATAAAAATAATAATAATAATAATAATAATAATAATTCAAAGAAATCGTGACGCATGATCGAAAACAATGCGTCGTGTATATAACAAATAAAACGTCACATTACCCGAAGCAACTCTGACGACAGAGCCGTGAACAAATGATCCAACACCGGGTCCCATGTTCTGCATACCTGACTGATTTTGATACTGAGAAGAAACATTCGATCTCGTATTTCCGTAGCCCTGGGAATACTAATATTAATAATAATAATGATAATATCGTTGACAAATACGGTCATGATTATTTCATCGAGTTATAAAAAAAAAGTTATTTGCATACCTGATTGGGATTATTGGGTCCGAAACCCGATTGCATGGGACCCGATCCAGGTCCTCCAGGTCCGGGACCGGAATAAACTCCTCCACCATTACCACTACCGCCACCGCCACCACTGTTGGCACTGCCGCCGCCGCCGCTGCCGCTGCCACTCCCGCTACTACCACCTCCTCCGCTTCCTCCACCCCCACCTCTTTTCTGATTCATGTGCATTGCGGGGGAAGGATAAGGAGAAATCCGTCTGGGATACATTTGATTTCCCGGACCCTGAAGTAATACAAAAAAAAAAAAAAAATGTCAACAAACGACAAAAACAAACAAAAAAGGGAAAAAAAATTTTTTGAAATGAGAACCTGTCGACAAACTAGGAAGAGGAAAACTATTATTATTATTATTGAATTGCATCCTATTTACTATTGAAAAATACCGACACAAAAATTAGATAGAAATGAAATGTAACGAAAAAACAACAACAAATATTTAACTTTTCAATGCGGAAGAAAGAGAGAGAGAGAGAGAGAGAGAGAGAAAAGGCGGCAAAAGAATACGAAAAAAAAGAAAAAACTTTCACTTTATGCACAATTTCCTTCTCTCTCTCTCTCTCTCTACATAAATCCAAAACATGCATACCTGTATTCCCATTTTATTCATTCCGGGTCCTGGTCCCATCATATTGCAATGCATATTCCCATTCATTGGCATGTTACCCATGGGCGCCATAGAATTCATGGCGTTAAAATTATTCATACCCATGTTCATGTTTCCCATAACATTTGAAGGATCATTCATTCCAATCGGAGCATGATTTCTTTGGTTGGGAAAATTCCCGCCATAATTTTGATTTCCCATAACATTATGGGGCATTCCATGCATCTGAAAAAAAAAAACAAAAAAAACGTGGGATCAGACAAAATCGCGTAAATCATTTTACCTTTTTTTTTTACTTTACTTTTTCTACAAGAAGGGGGAAAAAAACGTAAGTAACAAAAACGACAACAACAACAAAAACAATAAATGTGAAAGGACTGGAAAATACAAAAAAAAAAAATGGGTGGGAGTGAAAAAGGGGGAGGGTTTCCACCGCCCACCCGCCCCCAACAGGAAAATAACCAGTTCTTTCAATCACTTTAATGGAAACCCTTGTAAAAATCGATTTCATTTCATTTTGTATCCTACAAAATTTTTTTTCTTAAAAAAAAAAAAAAGAAATAAATAACTTTAAAAGAAAATGGGGGAGGGAAGAGGAAAAGGGGAGGGAAGAGGAAAAGGGAGGGAAGAGGAAAAGGGGAGGGAGGGGAGGAGAAAGGGAGCAACGAGAAAAAAGCAGAAGAATTTCTTTTGTTATGATTTTTTAAAATCTCTCAACGTGGCATTCAATTGTTATATATAAATGTGTAAAATTACAAATGGCGGAAAAATTACAATTAAATAATTCATCATCATAATTATTATTACTTATTTTTTCGGGGGGGGGGGGGGGGAGGAACGATCGTTTCGAGAAAACGGTGACGCGTTTCACGTCAATATGGCGTCAACAAAAAATATGTTTATATATATAACAAACATATAAATAATTTTTTTTTTATAATTGAAATTGAATGCATAATAATTTACGACATCGTTTGGATTCACGCCTAATTTTTCTCTCCCATTAAATAGGATGATGGTGATAAAGGACAGTGGCGTATTAAGAATTTTCAAACGCATAACATTTTAAAAATAATAATAATAATAATCGTTTAAATAAACGGTGTCGTCGTCGTCGTTCCGCCATTTTTTTTAAAATGCTTTTTAACGTAAAACGCAATTCCACACAGTTCGGAAACCTTTTAATTTATGTTGGCAACATTGTTTTTAATTTATTCTTTACGTAATTCAATAATAATTTTTAAAAAAATTTTTTTCTCCCCTCCTCCTTTCCCCTCATTATTTGCGGTAAAAACAAACAAACAAACAAACAAACATCTCGACATGTTGTTTCATTTTCGATTAATTATCGATTTCGTCTTTTTTTTTTTTTAAAAAAAACAATTCCAACGGTTTTTTTTTTTGGACCCCCGAGAGAGAGAGAGAGAAAGAGAGAGAGAGAGAGAGTTTCCACCGTCTTATTATTATTATTATTATTTTTTAAATACACGACGGAAATACGTAATACGCGAAGGCGTCACAAATGAAAACGAACCCAATAAACGAACACGAATGATTCAATTAATAACAACAGTAATAATAATAATAATAATAATAATAATACGGAGGAGGTTGAGGTGGAAGGGGAGGAGGAGGGAGGGAGGAGGTTAAGTTTTAAATTAATCGATTTAAACCGGAAGTTGACACTTTGAATAACAGGAAATCAATAATAAACCGATTGAGTTTTTATTGTCAATTTAGTGCTATAAAAATAAAAAATAAAATAAAATAAAATAAATAATAAAATAAATAAATAAATAACGAAAATATAAATAATAATAATGATGATAATAATAATAATAATGATGATGATGATAATAATAATAACAACAACAACAAAAAACTAGAAAACAAGTTATGGCGGCGATTACGGATTTAAAATAATATTAAATAATAATAATAATAAAAATAATAATAATAATGATAATATTTTGATTTTAAAAAATTTCTTAATAAATAATTTAAATCGCATCGTTTTACTATAGAAATAATAATAATAATAATAATAATAATAATAATGATAATAATTGTAATAATAATAATAAAATTCATTATTTTTATTTTATTTTCGAGATTCAGGGGGATTTTGAAAAAAAAAATGATTTAAATTGATGATGATGATGATGATGATGATGATGATGATGACGACAACGACAACGTTGATAATAATAATAATGATGATGATGATGATGATGATGATAATAAATGGATCAAGTTTATCCTCCTTATGTTGATAATCTCGAAAAGTTTTTTTTCTTTTTTTTTTTCGTGGGTGTTTTTATTTAAACACCCCCCCCCCTTTTTCTAAATCCACGACACTACACGACACGACGAAAATAAAAGAATACAAAAAAAAAAACTTTATGGAATTTTTCATTATTTGTTAAAAATTTAAAAGAAAAAAAAAAAAAAAGAAAAAAAAAAGGTTTTCGATGTGAAAACTAATCCCCAAAAAAAAGGTAGGTAGGTTTTGAATTGGAGCAAAGAGGGAAGATTCGAAGAACCTGGGAAGAAAAAAAAAAGAGGGAGAGAGAGAGAGAGAGAGAGATTCTTCTCTCATTGTTATGAGAAACTATTTTGTAATTCTGTTCCTTGCTGAAAATTTGTCGGTCGGTCGGTCATTTAAAAAAAATTTTTTTTTAACTAACGTGCACCTGGTCAAATTATAAATATCAAGCGCTACTATTTATTGTAAAAAATAGTCAATCAATCAATCACTGAATGATTTTTTTTTTTTTCAAATTCTATTCCGTGTGAAAATAAAAATGAAAAAAAAACGGTAATTAGAATGATTTTTAAAATTTTTCAAAAAAATTGTTTTCTATCATTATTATTATTATTATTATGTGAAATTGGCCAACTTTCTCGAAAGTATAGAAAGAATTTACCAACTAAAAAAAAACTTTCTTTGTTCCTTTTTTGTTGTTGTTGTTGTCGTTGTCGTTGTCGTCTTGTAAATTTCGCCATTTTTTTTTCTCATAATAATAATAATTATTTCGTTATCGATAACATGGATTGAAATCATCTTTTTGTTTTTTCCTTGTTTGTTTTTTTTTTTATTGTTTTTAACTTATAATGTTAGTCGTGTTAAAAAACTTTCATTTTTTTCCCCATTAAACGGAAGGAGAGAGGGAGAGAGAGGGGAGGGGATGGAAGGAGAGGGGGAAAAGGAATTCAAATGTGTTCGATTTTGATTTGAATTTATTTTTGTTGGATGAACATCAAGGAAAATCCAAAAATAGAAAAAAATTTCAATTCCAAGAGAGAGAGACAGAGAGAATTCTTCTTACCCCCCCCCCCACAAAATGTCGAGATGTTCGTATTCCATTTATATAATAATAATGATAATATTAACTTACCTGATTAAACTGTGAATTCATGTCTTGCCTTTCTTGAAGAGCAACAACGCTTGCTGTGGCTGTAGCCGTGGCCGTTGCTGCAGCCACCATTGCTGCTGCACTCAATGCACCACCGTATTGAGATTCTCCTCCTGTAACACTGTTTCCACCACCACCACCACCGGGACCACCGTTCATCCCTCCTTGCCCATCTCCATAGCTGTAAAAAAATAAAAAAAATTTTAATTCTCCGTGAGTTTTTCTTTTTTTCTTTTCTTTTGTCTATCAATTAAAAAATGCCAAAACAAAGACTCCCCCCCCAAAAAAAAAAACTATTTCAAACCCGACCAAATATATAAATATATTCTGAGTAGACGACGATGTTTTATTTTTGTGTCAGAAAATATCACCCCATAAAACTAAAAACATACACAAACACACACACAACAAACAAACAAACAAACAAGCACACACGACGCACACATTCTCTCTCTCTCTCTCTCTCACTCTTTCTCATTTTAAAAAAAACAGAGAGTTTATTTTAATTTTTGCCAAAAATAAAATTTAATGGTACGCGACGCCATCGGGGAGGTAACATTTTTTAAAAATATATAAACGTCGAGGAGACGAAGTAAAAAAAAAAAAAAAAAATTTAAAGGGATTCGGTGCTAACACCACCACCATCAACCAACCTAGATGTTCCAAGGCGATAACTCGTTGAAAATTGAGTATTCACTCCTACATCCTTTTCAGGTATTATTCCTTGTGACGTATAACCCTGATTACTGCTGCCCTGAGGACCTGATTGAGTAGCGGTTGTCACTCCCCAAACGGTTGTTACTACCGATAGTTGTTGAGGGCCTCCTCCTGGGGACCAATCCCTGTAACGACAACAACAACAACAATGATAACAAACAAAAAAAATTTTTTTACATTAATAATAATAATAATAATATATTTAAACGATTATTATTATTATTATTATAGAATCTGACACGATTTAGTAACATTATAATCCGTTTAAATTTAAATAATTTTTTTTTTTTTTATCCTTGACGACGCCAAAAAAGGTTTCCATTGAATGTCTGCATACATTTCCTCATTGTGTATATATATTATGTTAACAATGTGATGAAAATTTTTTTTCTAGAAAGAATCGATCGATACGGGTATTTTTTTATTAATGACCTCAATATCCCTTTTTCCAAGGGGGAAGAGGGAAGGGGAGCGGAGGGAAACGGTTCAAATCGTCGGGGTAATTTTGTCGACGGTGTTTGTTTTTGTTTTGTTTAAATTCTCTCACGATCTGAACAAACAAACATATATATACATATATACAAAATGACCACGCCTCTTTCCTTTGACTTTAAATAAAAAAAAAACTTATTTTCAAAGGGATTTTGTCAACAAAATCTTTGATGAAGGGAAGAAATCATCTCTCTCTCTCTCTCTCTTTCTCTCTCTCACTCTCGGATTGTTTTGAAAATCATGAGAACGTTTGAAATGTTTCTTTTTTTTTTTTTTTTAGGCGCGTCTATCATTCATCCATCCATTCAATTTTCACGTTACTTTTATCCATGCAATCCAATATATCATTTCGAATTTGTAATGATGATAATAATAATAATAATAATAATAATGATAAAGTCAGTGAGAAAACGATATATCGATTTAAATTATTTTTGGATGATTTAAAAGGGAAAAAAAGCCAACGCGAAGCCGCCATAGTCTCAAAAAAAAATTATTTTTAAAATATCCTTTTTTTTTCCTCCCCCCCTTTTCCCCCTCGCTCCCCCTCCTCCGTCTCCCACAAAAGCGACTATTTCGAATAACGATTTTTTTTTTTTTTTTTAAATGGCAATAAAATAAATCCGGATTTTAAATACTAGTCTATTGTTTGTATAGTTTTTAACACATTTGCACGATTCGGAAAAAATTATTTTAAAACTATTAATAATAATAATAATAACAATTACAAAAACAACAACAACAACAATAATAATAATAATAATAATAATAATAATAATAATAATAATAAATTAAAAATATATTAAAATACCACAAACATAACTTTCAGCTGTTTCGTTTAAAAAAAAAAAAAACGTTTAAGAATCTTACGCACTCTTTTTTTTTCTGTTTGTTTGTCTGGCAATTAAAGAGAGAGAGAGAGAGGGGGGGAGGGAAAAAAATCATTTTAAAAATAAAAAAAAAAAAAAAATTCGATGACACAATCATCATCAACCCCGCATTTATTCGAGAGAGAGAGAGAGAGAATAAAGACCATTATGACCTAAATGAAAAGATGAAAACGCATGGGAACTTATGTGTGCCACTATCGGAAATATAAAAAGGGTCTCTCTCTGTCTCTCACTCTCTTTCTCTCTCTATTTCCCTTCTCCTACACTCCTCCCTCTCTCTCTCTCTCTCTCTTTCATTCTTACCCTCTCCGTCTCCGTTTCACATAGGGTGGTAGAAAGTATTTAAGGTTGGGGATGTTGCTTTTATTATCGTACACGCACTCACACACACACACACACACACACACAAGTAAAAAGTCTGAGTGTTGATTCTATGGGAAAATCAACCCCTACCAAAGGGGATGTTAACTCAATATCAAGGGGCTCATTTCCTATTGAACTCTAACAAGTTAACATCATTCGAAACCGTTTTTATTATTATTATTATTATTACAATCATCATTAATAATTTTTTTTTCATAATCGTTTTGTTGATGGCAAAATAAATTTTTCTGAAAATATATATATATATATATATATATATATATATATATATAAATAAATAAAGACGAGAGAGGATTTGCGTTTGTTTCGACAAACAACAACAACAACAAACAACAACAAACAACATCAATAATATATTTTTATTATATCCGAAGATTTTATCGTAACCAATAAAAAAAAAAAAAAAAACTTGCAACCGTGACAAATGAACATTGATATCTCTCGTGTAGAGACACTAATTAATAACCGAGAGAGAACAAAACACGTCCATCGTGACAAGTTTTTTTTAAAACCACGAAAAAAAAATGGGGGGGGGGCCGAGGAAAATATGACTGACGATGATGATGATGATGACGACTCAAGATCGTGCGTGTGTGTATGCGTGCGCGGTTATAACAACGAAAAATAAACAAATAAAATACGTTTCTTCCCTTCCACCTCCTCCTGTTCCTCCTCCTCCCCCTCTCGCATTGAAAAAAAGTAAGAAATCAAACTAAAAATAGATGTAAAAATCAAATCGTCTTTTATCATTATCATCATTATCATTACTACTACGTTTTTCTCTCTTCTCCAGGAGCTATATATACGACGAAATCAAACAACTAACTAAAGTGTCCCTCGAGGACAGACACACACGCACACGCACACACGCACAAACGTTTATCATTAATGAATAATTTTATATACGGTTACATATATATTATTAATGGGAAATGTTTGTGATAAATAATAATAATAATAATAACGGCGGTGGTAATTGTTTTGTTTTGTTTTTAAAAAAAAAAAAAAAATCAATCGATCGTAAGTAATTATTATATCGATTTCCCCCCCCCCTTCCCCCTCCCTTCTTCCCCCCGCCTAAAATAACTGTCATTAAATTTTTTATGAAATGAAGACAATAATGTGGTAGTAGTTGTAATAATAATGATAATAATGGAATCGTTTTATTATTAATGGCGTTTCCGCCGTTCGTAATCATTCCTCGTCAATGTGAGTGAGTGAGTGCGTGAGTGCGTGCGCGTGCGTGCGAGTACGTGCGGTATTTAACGGAAGGCAAAATTTTACCACACAATCCGCGACGATAACACACAAACGCGACACACGAACCCGATTGATAATTTCTGTCGGAATAATAATATTAAAATAAATGTAATTTTCGAAAACGAACGACGACACGTGTATCGTCAAGACGTTCCGGAGACCTTGAATTCACTGATAACGTCGGTGGTATGGAAAAGAGAGGAGGAGGTCGGCCATATTGAGGAAAATGATATGGCGATGATGATGATGATGATGAAAATGATTTTACAGCATTATCCGAACGCTTTCCCAAACGTACACGCACCCGCACACCCACACACACGCACACAGATTAACGTTCGTGAACGAAACGAGGAAGAAGTTTTTTTTTTTTTTTTTTTTTTTTTTTTTCTATAACTTGACGATTAAGCCATTATGGGGACATCATGTGTGTGCACACACCAACGCACGCCGCCTACAATATAAAACGGATGTGTTCTCTCTCTCTCTCTCTCTCTCTCTCTCTCTTTGTTAAGAGAAAGATTTTAAACGTTCATCCTTTTTTATTTTTTTTTAGGGTCAAGCAAACCATTGCCGATGCCGCCGCCACCACCGCCGCCACGATAACTCATTCTTTATGAAAAGTATATATGAAATCTCCTTGACCGGATTTCACGTGTTCTCTTTCCTTCTCTCTCTCTCTCTCATACCTTTCTCCCATCGTTTTTATACCCGTGTACCGTATATATATACCTTTCCCTTTATCGAAGGATGCCGCAACTTTGTTTTTTTTTTTTTTTCTCACCTTGGCCAATAATCATTACATTATTATTATTATTATTTCATTAAAGGTTTTATTAGTTTGCAAACCGTGTTGACATTTCGTAATTATAATCGTATCGAAATAAACGAATCACGTTTTCGCGAGATGGAGATAGATAGAGAGAGAGAGAGAGAGAGAGAGAGAGAAAAGTTTTTTTTTTTTTTAAATAGAAATTTAAAAATTTTTCCAAGATGATTTTTATAAAAAAAAAAAAAAAAAATCGGTTATAAATGTATATACAATAATTAGCATTAATTAATAGGACAAGTAAAGGCCTTGCGAATTGCTTTGCTACCAGTTTTTTTTTTTTTTCTTTAATTTAACAAACGGCCTTTAACGAAAAAAAAAAAAAAAATTGGCATTGAAGCATTGCAACAACAACAACAACAAAAATTTTTTCATACCGTACGCGAAAATAAATAAATAAAAACCCCCCCTTCCTCCCACCACCTCACCCTACCCCTAATTAATGAATCCGATATGATAAGTTAATAATAGATGAAGAGGGAGGGGAGGGGAGGGGAAAAGGGGGGGAGGCGTTTAAAAGTTTTTTTTTTTTTTTTTACACGTTTGGGATTTTCCCTATCGTTAGTTTTATTTTCAAACGTTTATTATTATTATTATTATTATTATTATTATTATCATTTCTCCTCACGTTAAACTTTCACATCCTCGTTTTATACGTCGTATACCTTTTTATTATTATTATCATTATCAATATGTGACACGATAAATTATTAACGATTTTGTTTCATTTCCATCGTCAAATCATTTGTCAAATTATTATTATTATTATTGACTTTACATTCATCAGCATCATCATCATCATTATTATTAAAACTTTTCCCTTTTTTGTAAATAACGTGACCTCGTGTCCGGAAAATGTTCGTATACGCATTATTATTATTATTATTATTATTTCAACACGTCGTACCTATCATACAACAACGAGAAATTAACGGCCAAAAAAAAAAAAGTTTGGGATCATTGCAATAATAATAATAATAATAATAATAATAATAATAATAATAATAGCAACTCAATATCGAACTACATTACTCGTGCGCGGGCGTTTACAACGTAGACTTTAAAATGCGTGATGTGCGTGCACATCATTTGCACACTTTTATTTATTTATTTAAATCCGCACGTTACGCGAAAACATTTTTTCCTTTAACCCGTCTCCTGCCCTCCCCTCCCTTACCCCATCCAACTCATATCCGTTTTTACGAAACGTCTAAAGTACATTAACGATAATAACGATGATAATAATAATAATAATAATTAAAGGAAGAACGAAACGCGATTTTATATAAAGAAATTTTTTTATTTTTGGAAGTAATAGAAAAAATAATAATTTAAAATCAGGAGGAAATTATTTGTGGCGTAGTCAGGCGTAAATTATTGTTACGATAATAATAATAATAATAATAATAATAATAATATTTATCATTATTTCCTTATTTTAAACGAAAAAACGTCGACAACCGTTAACGAACAACAACAACAAA